AGCCCTGGTGGAGTAGTGGGTTACACCTTGAACTGATAACCACAAGGTCACCAGTTCAAAACCACAAGTCACTCTGAGGAAGAAAGATGAGGCTACCTGCTTCTGTAAAGAGTTATCCTCTCAGAAACCCACAGGGGCAATTGTGCACTATCCTAAAGGGCTTCTAAGACTCAGAATCAACTCAATGACAGTGACGTCTTTAAAAATGACATATAGAGTGTGTAACAAATGTTCAAAAAATTATTAATGAACTGGTCTGTACAAAAGAATGCTGTGGGCATGGCACCTGACCTCCTTGGTCAATTTCTATGAGGCTGAGGTCAGACAACCCTCACCCTCTGACCTTCCTACTAATTCTGATCCCAACTGTCCCTCCCACAGCTCTACTTTTCAGTGAGGTTTGATCATTCATTGTAATTGCCACAAAGAACTCACAGACAATACTCATGACTATGGGGTTTATTAAGGAAGCTAACAAGGTTACCAATGTGTGGGAAACAGAAGGATTTCTCCCAAATTGTCTCCCCCAAATATATGCCAAACTTAGCTACTTGCAAATGACTATACATTTGAAAGTCATCAGAAGTAGATCTGGGGTCATTCTCCCTAAGAGCTATCAGCCATCTAGACCAAGCAGACACCACTGTTTATCCCACAAGTAGGGCCCATTCCCTTCTGATAAGGATATCTAGACCAAGCAGACACCACTGTTTATCCCACAAGTAGGGCCCATTCCCTTCTGATAAGGATAGTGGTTGTCTGTTCCTTGTAGGAGACCCCAGAGAGGTCAAACCCGCCCAAGGATGACCAAGGTTAGGCCGCCATCATATATCTAGTGTCCACCCATCTTGTCACATATCTACTCCTAGACCTTCCCATTCCTGTGGGCACACCCCTAGCACATCCCCTTCCTGTCACGCTTATGCCTATCATACATCCCCTTCCTATGATATGTATGCTTATTGTACTGCCCCTTCCTATGATGTGTGGTTACCTGTAACCATGCCTCCCGAAGGAGGTATAACCCTTGGTTAGCAATAAAGTGGAGGCTCTCTCCTGCTCTTACTTCCGGGGGCTCTCTCCTGCTCTCGTGGCCGGGCTCCCCCCACGAGGACCACCAAGCGGGGCTGAGGTGAGCATGCTACCACGAATTGTGTCTGACTCCATTATTCCAATCTCTCCTCTACCCCTCACGCTTTCTATGACTTTATTATAATCTTTACTTATTATTGCTGTACAATTAGACCTACCAGACCTGTGATGATTTGTTGGGGACTCTCTTTTCCCCACACCAATGTTCAGTTACAATTATTCAGACAGGACAGTCTCTTCTCAGTCATGCCTGCTGGGGAGTCTTTCTCTGGTCTTTGGCTTCTTGGCTTCTGCCCTGCTTGTGCAATGTTACTGAGCTCTTTTAGGGTTGCCAATAAATGATCACAAGGTATGCCACTCCTTCCTAAGTCTCAATACAAAGGCATTGAACTCTAGTCAGCAAACCTAGCTTACCCTATTAGGTGCCCAGAGGCACCCGATTCCACTCCTGTTTCCTGTCAGAGGCACTCAGCTTTACTGGCTCTGTGGCTGGGAAGTCCACCGCTCTGTCTCATGCTCTGTCTTTTGGTTGTTCTGCTGCTGCTATTCCTCTTACCCCCCACCACACCCCCGTGCCAGTCATAGCTGCCTCCTGGATCAAGGAGGTGAGAGGCACAGGGATCTCAGAGCCCAGAGGATGGACTTCACTCCTGGCTCTTCTCCCTTGCTGGTAGTGAGACCTTCCTGGTTTCAAGTTTTTTGGTTTTGCCTTTTCCTCTCCAGGATTACCTTATTGGTGACTAGTTTTTTTCCTTTCTGAGCCAGCTCTGAGACTAGGTAGGGTTCTAGCTCTGGGCAAACTGGACCGGGGGTTGGTGCAGTGCTACAATTCTCCCCTACATTCTTCTTCCCTGACGTTTGCAGAAACCAAGGAATTCTATGTCTAGTCCTTTCCTTATCCTATCAGTATCATCTCTCATCTTCTTAACGAGGAAAAATCATGAGGTGAGGTACAACAAAGGCTCTGTCTAGAAGAGCCACACAAAATAACTCACTGCACTGTTAGGCTAACTGTAGGTGACAAGTGATATGAGTGGGTAAATAAAGAACTTTAAAATGAACAATAATACTTTTATAGAAAAATGAACTGCTATTTAATTATAAAATCTTAATTTAGTTTTCCATGGCAGTAAGTTGATTACATTATATTCAACTGAGGTGAACACCTTGACTGCCAGAACAGGTCATTATAATATTCCTTCTTGGTGGAGATCCCCAGCACAGCAAAGACATGCCACCACATTAGGCTTTATGAGGGTGCAGGGGACATAAGCAGCAGACTGAGGAGGGTCACAGCTGGAATTTAAATCCCAGCCAATAAATAACTGGTGTGACTTTGAGTAAATGATTTAATTCTTTCTACGTCTCTGCGTTAGTATCTATAAAATGGAGACAGTAGTAGAATCTACTTCTCATGGGTTCTGTGAAGATTAAGTGAAGAAAAACAGGGAACTAACTTGAAATTCCATGGCCATTGAGTCAATTGGCACTCACAGTGACCTTCTGGGGCTTCTGACGTTGTCAATCTTTAGAGGAGTGGCTGGATTTATCTTTCTCCTGTGGAACAGTGGTGAGTGTCAAACGCTGACCTTGTGGGGAGCAGCCCAATGCTTCCCCGACAGCCGCACCACAACACTGCTGCTGGCTTCACAGTCATCAGCGTTGCTACCACTCGCCCCAGCACTAGCACCACACGAACTACAAAGTGACTTTCGTATGCATGAAACTAAACCGCTCATTTCACAAACCCTTAGGACCCTGTCGTCCTGGTAGTGAACCATGCTGTGTCTTTAAAAACCTGGCACAGTCCTCACAGTGGTCATGCATCCTGCCAGGTGCCCACACACCATGATGCTGGTTAGGTTAGTTCAGATCTGCCTATGAGGAACTATGGTTTCCTAAACCAGAAGTTAGCAGATGCCCAAGGTACAGGTCTTCATATTTCACTAAGCACTCCTGGACCTTTCAGAGTTCCAGGATTACACTTTTAACATTGCAATTTCTTATCCAGCTTTCCCATGCCCTATGTTTCATGCCAGTAAAATTAGTCTTCCTTTTTTCCCAAGGGAAATATCAACAGCTTGAGATGTGCATACAGGCATATTTTTCTCCTATTTGCAGTGAATGGATTCTTTAATATAGAAGCTAGGGAAGTTAGAATAATGAAATACTGATATGGGGATCCCTTATAATAGAATATACCACGTTAAATGGCTGTAGTAGTCAATGAAGCAATTGTTACACATCTAATATCCTACTGAAATGAAATAAATGCATTTTAAGGGAATAAAACCTAACCCTTTTTGAGATGGCCTGCTAAATGAGTCAAGAAAAATCCCTTAATTCTAGACCTATAACATTAATCAAAATAACTGAGCTGTGTAACCATCCTATTTCTTATCATAGAAAACTTAATGATAAAATAAATGCTGGATTTTTTATCTACAAGACCTTCACACCACCCACTGAAAAAATGCCCCCCAAACCCAGGCATGTTCTTAGGGTTAGGGTTCCTTCTACTGGGACATGAAAGGTCCTTTGCTCTCAGGAAAGTCTGGGTCGAGCCAGCCTGCCTTTTGATGGTGCTACCTGTTAGCCAGAAGGGTCCTGATGTCTACCAGGCGGTTACAGATCGAACGGACTGCGAATCCAGCCATGGATAAGAGAGTGTTTTAATTGGCTAAATCTGTGATGTACTAAGCGTATGGCCATGAATTTGTAGCCAAAACACTACTCTTTAAAAAAAATGCCACATACAATTTAAATACAAAACAGGAAGGACATTTTCAACCCCCAATTCAGTTTTGCCATGAGAGCTTACAATGCCTCTGAATCCCTTACCTGTGCCGAAGTAGAATTTTCATGGTATACTCCTTGTACCAAGTCCCTGAGTGCACTTGCTAAGAGTTCCACAACCTAAAATAAAACAAGAAAAATAGTTCAAAGAAATCGTTTTTAAAAATTCACCTCATTTTTACCTCAGAATGCCTCAGAAAGTTTAGCAGCAAAGACAGGATTTGTGCTTGATAAAAAAGGGAGCTATGTGCAAAGATCCTGGCAAATGGCATTGCCCACCTGGATACTAAAACTGTGATCCAATTTTCTTCTCAGTCATAATTTTCAAAAAAACACCTAAACCTATAAGCATAGCATTTGACTAATAAACACACGAAAAGTTCGGAATAGCTGTTTTGAACATAAGCTTACATTCTACATAACTAATGAATTTTTAGCTAAATTAATATTCTGCATGTTATTTCTGTCAGGTTGTTACTTTTTCAATATCCCATTCCGAGAGTCATTACAATGCTAATTTTTATATTTAACCCAGAAAGAAAAGCAAAATCAAAAGAAAGGTTAACCTTTCAAATGTGTTCATTGTGTTGTACTTAAAATACACTGTGGGTATATCTGGTGAAGAGCCACTAGGTAAAAAACACCAAAAACACTGACCATTTTTATAGACCTGAAATCTTATTAATCAACCCCGTATTATCTTTAAGGCTCAGGCTACTTTCAAAACCAAACAAACCACCACCAAAGTCCACAGCTTTGAACCGGTTCCAGAATGTAAAACAAGCGGAAAGCAGTAAAAGGTCTCTTTGGAAGAGTCTACAATTTAGAGTGGTTTGCATAAACCATATTAATTCAAGAGGAAAAAACAGTGGCATTTATTATAACATTCACTGCAGTCATTTCAAACAAGAATTCCTGCATGCAACCTCATCCACTGCTTACCAGATCTTAATATCTAGTGTATTTAACTTCCTATATTAGGAGTCCTGTGACTGATCCCTGCTCTTGGCTTCCTCAAACGTAGCTTAGCTCTGACTGAATAAAAGGATTTTGTTTCATCTGTTATCATTCTTCTAATTAAAGACAAGTTAAGCCAAAGGATACAGACCCAAAAGACAAAACACTTCAATCTCGGGTACCTTGGATTTATTAAACATTTTCTTAGAGGCAAATTACCTTAATTTGTAGAAAGATTTGTTTTAAAATTTTAGCACAGGAGCACTAATCTCCCAAATTTATATTTACATTCATACACCACAACACATACAGGGCTGCTAATAAGGACATTGTGCTGATTCAAGACATTTTTTTTTTTCTAGCTCTGCAGATAGGTTAATTTGTAAGGCTTTTACAAAGTCTCTCTCTCTTTTTAAAACCACGTTGCCCTCTAGGTAACCAAATACTTTAGAAATATTGTAGCAATATGAGCTGCAGAGGAACTGGAAGGACAATGATCCTACAGTGTTACCAGATGTATTGAGTTATTTAAGTGGGGAAGAGGGAAAAATGAATGGACTTTTCCCCCTCGAAAGGTATCAGATAAGCCCCATTCCCAAATCCAGGAGGCTCGAGTATCGCCAATAGGTCTACGAAGGAATGTGACTAAAGGCACAGCATCAGGTTGGGTTTCAGTTTATACAAGCAACATCCCAAGATACCCCTGATGGCTGGACACCTAATACAGATCACTCACTCACTTAGAAATGTTATGGTTTTGAAACTGCTTGAGCTGAGACCAGCAGTGGTAACCTGAAGAAGGACTTTCAAAGAGAAAGTTCAACATTAAATGTCAAAACGATGGCATGAACCTTTAACAAGGGATCCGACCACGATAACCCGAGAGTTTTCTTCCTTTGCTGATTTTCCAGAGCAGGCAGAAGAAACAAAGTCATTTGTTCTCTGAGTCTCATTATCTTAATTCAGTTGGTAGAGGCAGGCCTGCACTTGCAAATGCATAAATGTAAGTATATGATCTCTACTTACAGATGGCTTGCATGAGTAGAATTTATCTCACAGCCAGTCCCAACCATCAAGGAAAAACCTCAGACTTCCTTAGGTTCACAAGTAGTTGAATGAAAGAGATTATAAAAAGCAGGAATAGGCTAGGGGAGTTGAATGTGTCCCAGGAAAAGGTGATTTGCCCAGTAACACATACAAATCTTTGTCTATTGCCTGAAATGCTTGCTATACTTTTACCATATATACTCCTGTATAAGCTGAGTTTTTTTTAGCACATTAAAAAAAATCATTTTATTGGGCTCATACAACTCTGATCACGATCCACACATACATCCACTGTGTCAAATACATTTGTACATTTGTTGCCCTCATCATTCTCAAAACATTTGCTTTCTACTTGACCCTTGGTATCAGCTCATTTTTTCCCCTCCCTCCCCACTCCCC